ATGCCACCTATAGAAATCTATTTATGGGTTAAAACAAGTCTCTAGACAGTAGTATTTGAAGTTGATGAAATGATAAGAAAGTTTGGGTTTAAAGAAAATGAGAAGGCCAATAGCGTTTATGCGAAGTTCTAGAATGGAAAATTCTTTTTCCACATCCTGTGTATAGATGACATCCTACTCACTAGTAGTAATGTTAATCTGCCATTAGAGAAGAAGAAGTCTTTGTCCTCAAGTTTCAATGTGAATGATCTTGGTGAAGCCTCATTGGTTCTAGGAATTGAAATTCACCGAGATAGATGAAAAGGGGTATTAGGACTATCGCAAAGGCATACTTAGAAAAGATTCTAAAGAAATAAAGTATGCATGCGAGTAAATCTACGCCTGCTCCTATAGTCAAGGGTAATAGATTTGGGAACTTTTAGTGTTCCAGGAACCGATATGAGATTGATCAAATGAACATGGTTCCATATGCTTCAGCTGTTGGAAGCATAATGAATGTACAAGTAAGAACTTACCCTGACGTAGCTTACGTATTCAGGATATTTTGGCAGAAGTCCAGTCCAGATATAGATCACTGGAATGGAGTTAAGAATATCTTGCAATTTTGCAAAGTATCATAGGCCTCATGCTAAGTAAGAAAGAACAAGTACTCTCAAATAGTTGTGGGTATAAATGTTAAGTTATGCGAGGTGTGTAGTGAAATCCACAGTAGTTGTTAACACTCGCAGTTTGAGTATTATTGTGGAAAAGCTCTAATGAAACAGTTGTGGTGTCATCAATGATGCATACCATAGTATAGCTTGTCATGAGGCCTCAGGAACCGGCACAAGTGGTTAAGGGAATATGTACCCGGATTTAACAATGGTAGTCAACAGCAATAACCATTTAAAGTAGTTAACTCCTAAGACAACAGGTCAAGTGTGCTGCCAAACACATTGACATTAAGTTATATGTTGTAAAGGAGAAAATCCATAATCATTTTGAAAGCATTGAGCATATAAGTACCAAGCAAGTACTTGTGGATCCGCTTACCAAAGGCTAACCACCCAGTGCATTCAGAGAACACACAGTCGACATGGGTTTACGGGAAAGCCTATGATTTTTTTATACTAAAGGCCTAGTTGATAATTCGTTTTAAAATAGAGAGGTGCATTGTAGCTGTTTAATCTAATGGCAACTGACCGTGACGATGAGGCACACTCTATGCACTGATCTGCGATAGAATGGGAAAAAGACAAAGTAAGTTAAGTTTAAGTCATAAGATGAGATTAAGGGGGAGAATGTTAGATTGATCTCCACCAGTTGGCCCAACGGCCAATTGGGCCCTTGATGCGCGCCCTGATCGGGGGCGCCTAGCCGTTCTCCTGGCTGATGGGCCCCCATCGTGCATCGCTATAAAGAGGAAGGTGGGGGCCAGGGCGTAAGGTACGAGGTTCACCGTAGCCGCCAGCGCCCCACCGAGGTTCCTAACCCTAGTCAGATCTAGAGGGCGCGCTGTGAGCGACGGGAAGCTCCACCGCCTCCACTAGACCGAGCCTGCACTGCTGCCACCTTCGACACCCTAGCGGGCGCGTTAAGCTACCTCTACTCCGACACTCGAGGCCACGACGCTGCGGCGCCATGGCCGCGACGCTGCTTGGTGAGGTACACCAGCAAGTTTCTTTGTCTAAGTTGAGTTTTACCCACTGATCTACGCCTAGATGATCCAAGAATTCTATCAGTAACTTCAACTTCTATAGAGATTTGTTTAGAGGCATTGCAATATGATGGAAGTTGGTAATCAAGTTCCCTATAGGACCCCATTTCAAAGAGTTGCGTTGGCCTCAAGTTCCACAAACACTATTGCATTAACCAACTCATTCTGCTTAAGTAGCCTATCTTCTAGTTACATTATTTCTCCTTGCTTTGTTGTATAACAAAGAATATCATTATTTGAGAGTGAAGTTTTCTAACCACTTGTTCTTCCAGAATCTAACATCAGAAACATTGTAAAAAATCAAAAGTAGATAAACCAAGGAATAGGTCTTGACCTTCATAAGGCTAGACTAGAAATGTGAGTCTTTGGTTTCCAAAATCTTCAATAGTGGTTTTTGTTTTCCAGGTGTTTCTTCTTAAGAAGTTCATGTCAAACTCCCTCTTCATTCATAAATTTGTATAATCATTTGCTAACAAGGTGGGCTTTTTGTAGTTCAAGATTAATAAATTTCTATAATCATTCGCTAATAAGGTGGCCTTTTGTAGTTCAAGATTTAAATTTTCCAAGCCCCCTTGTTCCTTGGGTAAACATAGAATTCCCCACTTCACTAATTTGTATCTTTTTACAGTTGTCACCTTGTAAAAAATCTAGTCTTTAATAAATTTGTTAAAATACTACTTAATTTTATCATACGTCTTCTTGAAATGAACCTTCAAAATAAACATATTTGGTTTCTTCCTATATAGTTGATGAGTTGTTTCACTAAGGATAATCATTGTCGCATTCTACACCCCAATATACGATTTGTCAGTCTTTGTTCTATTTGGTCGACCTTTGCATCTCATATGCCTACCTTATAGCATTTGCAGCCATACAAAAGATGCAAAAACCTGCACACGGAGCGCATATCACATATTGGCATGTTTGAATGTCTGCATCTGATCAGCCTGCACATTGCAGCTGTATGAACTATACGAGTAGGATATTTGGTTGGCTGGCTCAACTGTCCCACGATGCATCTGCCCATGCAAAAATATGGCTGCATCCGGGCTCTACTCATGTGGCCATTTCAGACATCGTTCGCAGGCTAGGCCCTACTGAAGCAGGATGAGCCAGAGGGATCAGTCACACACGGTAGTCAAGTTGTCTATGCTCGTACAGATAATCAAATAATATCTCAGTTTTCTTGCATCCTCTTATATTATATATAAAGAACATTAGAGACCGTAGGCGGTCTTCGGTGAATCGGGAGAGAAAGGAAAGCCATGCTCAGACACGCACGAGGCACGTGGCGGCGTCCATTTAATAAACAGTAATCAAACAGTAAGCGAAGCAATCTCCTTGCGTGGATCCCAGTCGCTATATGAAGTTTCATATTCATATTCGATGCAATCATGCAACCTCCGTTCAGCTTAAAACACACCAATTGACGAGGAAGGATATGACTCATATGACATGCAGCACAGTTACCACGGTAGATGGTTGGCTGTGTGACTGCAGGCATGGCGTACCCACGGGCACACGGCCTCTCCCTCTCTCTCTTTCTCTGCTGCATAACAGTAACTGTGCAGCGTAACGTACAGTGGCCGTGGAGAGAGTGGCGCATGCATTGCATGCACGCAGAAACGCAGAGGCGATGTGGGGAGGGTGCTCAGCTGCGCCTCGCGCCGGGCCAATGAATCGCGTGGTCAGGCCTCGCTGCGTGCTCTGCCCCTGCGGGCTGCAGCACCGGCGGCAGTCCGGCACCGCACCACATCCTGATCGCAGCGGTACGGTACGCCACGAGCGGGCTACCGCGGGGCACTGCAGGGAAAGGTGCCAGGCCGCCAGCCCACTGGGCGCTGCCACTGGCACTTGCCAGCAGCTAGCTGCCGCTGCCCCATACTAGTACTAGTACTGCCTCCCAGCGATCTGATTATTCTACGCTGCCCCAGGCCGGCGGCGCGGATGCCGATGGGCCGGGAATGTGAGAGCCGTACTCAACAACAGTGATCCTCCTCGGGCGCGGCGGATGCCGGCCGGCACGAACGAGCCCAACGACCGGACCGGACGGCCGTGTGATGATACTCCCTCTCCCTCCATCAGCTCCCAAGGCCAAGAGGGATCAGCCGCGCGCGCTGGCGCCTCAGGACGGCAGCAACGACGAGGCGCAAGGCGCCAGCGCTGGCGTGCGTACGAGTGAGCGATCGTACAGCGCGGAGGGCGATTTGTTCGCCGGCTTGGGAGACCGTGGCCGGGCAGCGCGGCGTCGGCGTGCGCATGCGACGCGACGCGAGAGAGAGGATGGATGCACGAGAGCGAGCCGAGCGGGAGGCGGTCGCGGTCGCCTCGCCTGCTGCCGCTGCCGCGCCTGTGCGCACGTGACTCCGCGCCCTGCCACTCGGCACTTCTGCAGTACAGACGTACGGAGTACATTACAGTACAGTACAAAAAGATGCGAGGTGGGCAGGGCCCCACCGGTCCCACCGACACGTTCTGGCTTGGCACATCAAGCCTGGACCACGGCCCATCTGAGGCTTACTGCGGGTTGCCGGGTGCCAAGATCATTTCGGAGAGCCCATTTTGTGCTGCTATTTTCATTTTCCTTTCGTTTTTCTGTTCCAGACCAAACACTTCTGAGAGGAGCTGCCGAGCTGTCTGCTGTAGTGCTGTCGCGCAAACCAAGGTGGCTGAAAAGGAAAAGCCTCTACCAGAACTCGCACGAGAAGACACGATCATTTGCAGCAACTGGGGACGATTTTAGTTAGAACTTAGAATCATGCCCTGGGCCTGAAGAGAACCACAAATCTGAAGACTGGAAGTATTGCAGCAAACTTCAGTGGAGAGATGCCCTTGAGAGCGTCACTGAGAACAGCTCGCCCAGATTGGACTCGTTCTGGAAACATAATCGAAATAACATCAAGCCTACACCATGATGCTGATGCTCTCTGATCTCGTCCCGCCAAAAGGCAAGGATATAACACACACAGCATCGAGCCACTAAGAAACTGAACGGGCTAGAACGAGCATGAAAATTGCTGGAAATAATTGGATATATTAATGGACTGTACACATATCTCCATTGGGGATAAAGAAAAAGGTATGATGCTGGAGACAACAGCTGGTTCAAATAAGCTGCTGATCTCAAAATTTTTGGAACATGCTCGGTCAATTTACATGCCCACTTTCAGAGAAACCCGTCGACAGACAGGTGTGATCTATTTCTGAACAATGTGATTTCGGGTGTGCAGGCAGTTTGCAGAATCTCTGTTTAATTTTGCTGAAGGTAGCGTATAGGGCAACCAACTACAACTACTGTCCTTGATTACGTCACGTAAGTTTGAGGGAACCAACTTTCCAACAAAATATGCTTGAGCCTCAGCACCAGGGTGAATAGAGCGTAGCACGGGAAGTGCAGCAGTACCACCACCAGGTACCTGCCAGGAGTTACAGTTTTTTCTTTCAACAAAGTTGATGAAATCGCGGTTTACAGCCATACTGGCATATAGCAAATTTCTTGATGACTTCAGTGTCAAATGAGTGCGACCACCAAAAGTATTTAGGTACCAAATTGTTCTTTTCCTTTGCATGTCATTGCATCTGTTCATGTGGTAATAAGATTTTCATAGCTATCCCTAGCTTGTGATTCTACTGTCATGTAATGTCTAGATTCTGCTTTTTTTGTTACGGGACTCACTGATGCATTAGCTACACATGAAACCATAATATTTAGCAGAATAGAGTCACTTCTTTCATCGAGTTGAGCTTACCATACAGGAGCACCAGGGAATGTCAAGTCTAGAAATGGGTAAGGCCACCTGAACAAAGCAAAACATGTTACACATCCCAATTTCACCTCATTAGGAAGAAAAAAAGAGCTAAGCTAGTAGCATTACCATGTTGACACGTTAGCATGGACGATCCACTGAACATTAACAAAAATGCCTGTCCACAGCAGGAAGTATGCTATCCTAAACCATGGGAAATGCTGCATTTATAGATTAAAAGATCAATACAGAGATCAGTTGATCATGATATAGATCAATGTTGTAGCATGAGGCATTTACCAGTTTGTTTAGAGCAGCATCACCAACTATGAAGACAACGTTGATTGAATGTGTCCCAATCAGAATCTGTTATGCACATATTAAGAACTTTAAGAAATAAATACAGAAAAAAAGAATACAAATAACAAACCTCAACAAATAAATTTCTCTTTTGTAGTATGACTATATATTATTATGAATAGCACGTAATCACGTAACATTTCTATACCTACTATTAAAGAGCGAAAATTTCTCGCCCACAAATTTTAGTCCCACTCTTCCAAGTCCATCTGTCCCTCCACTCCCTCCCTCGAGCATAAGAGACGTCTTAGCCAGTTTTACTAAGAGTAGTAGTATGTGATGAAGAGATAAGAATCCTAATTGGCGTCCAACCCATGACCTGAACTCACAACCCATGCTTATAGGAGTTAGAATAGCACGCGTCCAATTCTAAGACACATTGGAATAGATGAGCCAAGCTGTACCTAAGGTTGCAACACACAGGCATGTCTGCTAGTCATTCTTAAAAAGAAATTGGCCACAACTGATGTGCCTACCAAAAGCAGTGCTAAGCACTTGTATACTGCCACTTCTGCATCCCCTTAACCATGTAGAAAAGATACACAAGTAATAGCAGAAGGCAGAAATGTTCTATGTTTTTAGCATGTTTTATCTCTTTATTAATATAGGGAGAGCTCCAGCCATAAGTTCCAAAAAAAAAAGAGTCTCAAAGTTGACCGAATAAGTAACTGATAAAAGGTCACAGACCATTAAGTTATATACTATCATATTAGACTTCCAAAATCCCTAGGTATATATAGTGAATTATGATCTTCAAGGTAAAATTTTCAAGGAAAAAAGTAATGTATATGGAAGACTTTTAGTTAATATTGTTCACCAAACAAGTCAGATTGTAGATTAGTACAGTTCCTAAAATTGCAAAAAGGGAATACTCACAAAATTCATCTCATACTGATTGTGGGCAAGGAAAGGGTACAAAATAAACCAGAACACCAAATCTGTAATCATCACAGCACCTGCATTTGTCTGGGAAAAAAACACAGAATTTGAGTGGAGTACCAATGTCAGTCATCTTTCCTGTTTCTCTCTATTACTTTTATTTATTAATATAAAACAGGTCAACTTTTTGCAGAAATGTGAAGCTACGACATGCTTATGATGATTGATGAGTTACCTGAAACATGATCTGGAACATATAACCCCAAAATCCTGCTCGACCATTGTTTGCTTTAGTGTAATAAGAAATTTTGATTGTAGGGTCATATGCACTTTCTGCTGTTGGAGCTGTCATATATGTGCCATGATCTGCACCAGATCTTACCAGATCATATGTATCCCCACCGATATTGTAAACATACTGATAGCATCCGTAAATCGAAAGCAATGATCCAAGCTGCAGATGAAGAAGGTATTGAGACATTCACTAGTTAGTACTGGAGAAATCATTAGCAAGAATACATAAACTCTACAGTCTGTTTCAGATAATATCCTCAAAAATAAAATAAAATCATGTAAGCCTTTGTACCAGTGTTGCAGGAGTGCAGTGAGATATGATGTCAGTGTCAGTTACTGAGAATCAAGGTTAATTATAAAGTTAAAGTGACAAATAACCAAAACAAAAACCAAACCAATGTTCCATTAGCAAACTACATACCCCAAAATACAAGGTGACAAGCAAGAATGTCCACCTGCCAAACGAACAACATCATTTCAGCATAAGTTCTTTCAATTGTGGGCGGTGGAACTACTTCTGGGAATTATGACCAATCAGGATGAAGATGGTCTTACTGTGTGTAGTACAGGAAGATACTCCATCCATCAGTAACGATGTCGACCACAAGCAGCGAAGCCAAAACGAAGAAGGCCACAAGGCGAAACGCCAGCAGCCAGCCAGGGTGGATCCCCTCAATGCATGTCTTCCAGCAATCTTCAAGATAAACAACACCGGGTGCGGTCCGTGGTAACGCCTCTTCTCTGTCTTCACTGTTATCGCCATTGCTGTCTGGTGAACTGGGCCCCTCATACTTCCAAATCAAGAAGAACGCCAAGGCCATGCAGGAGTAGACCCAGAGCACGCACAGCAAGAACCTCCAGTTGAGCCAGTACTCCGGTTGAGTAGTGTCCACGGCCATGGCTGAGGATTGGAATGCTTAATTAATCGTCCCTGCCATCATATATCAGCAAGACATTATATAAGTTTGCTGTCCTAGTTGTCCTCGTTAAATCTGATACTATACTTGCGCCAGTCCACTCAAGAATAAGAAGAATCACTTTTCTCCTTGCCTTGCCGGCAAAGTGAGAGATCAACGCAATACAGGTATCCTAATCCGCAAATAGGAGTAGAGAAAGCAGAGGCAAAAGAACAGGCCGAAGAAAGTGAGGGACACCAACACACTATTCAGAGATTCAGGACCTATCCTGCAACATGCCCGACCTGGGTACCCCACGCAAAAGGTAAAGATGCAACCTTTTCCACTTCTTCCATTGACGCGCACACACGAAACAAACGAACAACGAAGCGGGGGGAATCAAGAAACCTATCGTTTGAGAGAAGATGAAGTGGGGGAAGGAAGATGGGTATACCGGCGATTGATTCGTCCACAGGGTCGCGCACGGGAGGATCGGTTAGGACACACCGGCGGATCGGACAGAGTGGTTAACGAAGAAACCGAGAACAGCCACTCCCCTGGCCGAACAACCACTCCCCTTGCCCGCTTGCCTTCTCCAAGCTCCGTCCGGTTCCTTCCCCCTTGTTCGTCTGATGCGCCTTCCTCCGCCGACTAAACTACTCTAGATTGAGATCGGGGGAGGAGACATCAGACATTGCGCATCAGTGTATCGGTGTGTCCGCAATAAAAAAAGACGCGGGATCAGAAAATGTTAGCCAAAATCTAGAACGTATAGAGAGATCATGAATTACAATATACGGATGGGCAGCAGATCCCTGCCAGTTCCTCGCAAGAATCTCCGACTCCCAGTCAAAGTGCCGGCGGTGGACTTGTGCCGGCGGAGACCTCGGGAAGCCTCGCGTTCGCGTCTGGCGCCTCCTCTCCCACCTGTCACTGACACACACACACACACAGAGCAGCAGCAGCCACAGGCGGGGCAGGGCGAGAAGTGAACGAACGAACCACCGGTCCACCGCGACGATGAGGACCAACCACGGGGCAGGTGATCTGGAGACTAGCCGATGAGGGTGAGATGGAGGCATGGAGCCTAGGTATTTTCCGACCTGGACCGCTTGCTTGGAATGGAATGGGACCATTGGATAGTCAGAGGACACAAATCATTTGCTTGTGTCGATTTGCCTTTGCGACTGCAAGAAATCAAAATGATTTTTTTTTTCTCACGTTGCCACAAGTACGTACTACACCTGAACTTTCTGGGATTCTGGCACGTGCGTCACCGAAGACAAGCAATGAAGCAAACAATCAGTAACCATTGTTGTCCATATGAACGGAATGAAATGCAGATGTTACCTAATTATACTCCCTCCGTCCATTAACCCTGTTCGGCTTATAAGCCATGGTTTATTAGTCAACAAACAATATTTTTTTCTCACACCAAATCAGCCAACAATATTTTCAGTCATTACTTATAAGCCAAACAAACACAAACGAACAGGACTTGTGTAATTTATTTTATTATTATTATCCGAACACTCAATGTGACATCCCTACGTGACATACGACGACAGGAGGTAGCATATTTTATTAAGCTGTATTTCAGAATGAAAACTACCATGCAATGAAGTGAAGAACATTCTCTGAAACGTCAAATATACTACTCCGTCCCAAAATAAAAGACGTTTTGGGTTTTTGTGCCACAAGTTTGACTCGATTTGTAGAAAATACGTGCAATATTTATATCTTCAAATAAATTTGTTAAAAAACTAGACAAAAAGATCTTTTCGATGATACTAATTACTTAACATAAATATTTATATATTTTAATATATAATTGCCGGCAGTTGTTTCTCGGGAAGCGAGAACGTCACTTATTTTGGGACGGAGGGAGTAAATGACAGGAGGTAGCATACAATTAAACTAATTATTGATCAAAATTTGCAAAATATCATTTAACAAAGTAAGAGTTACATTGATGGATAGAGGTAGTACAGATAAATGATGATAATTTTCATTGCTAGTTGGATAAGATAGATGCCCACCTCAGAAAAACTTACTCACCGCGGGATATATCACTGTATAAATCATACTCTTATCAGAGCTTTTACATGAAAGACTTGACACTTCCATATACTCATTCCTCAAATTGAAGATAGAAGTCAAATTATATTTTTAGTTCATTTTGGTTTTGTTGTTAAGCTCTTTAACTCTAACGAAAAATTAAAAAAATCTACAAGTTCAAATAAATACAGTATCACACAAAAAAAACTAGTAGGCATCTATTGCACATCCAAAATACAAATTACCAGCGCAAAAGTGAAAGTCCCGTTTGGATTATATAATAATTAATAACAATATTTATGGTATAATGATTTTCATATGAGATGAAAGGTCAAAGTTAGTCCACAAGCAAGATTTGGAGCTACATGAAGGCTATGGTCAAAATAGCATGGATCATGAAGCAAAAAATCTTAACTCACGCATTATAGAATTGTGCACCGGGTTTCCTAACCACTTAAAACTTGAAAAAGGGAAATAACTTGTTGTAGCTAATAACTTGACTAAGGCCAACCACGAATTTGACTTAAGTTGTGAGATTTGGCTCAACGAGAGGTAGGATCACTGTGAGTGTTGGATCTCTAGTGGCGTACCTCATGGAGTAGCTAAGGACCATGTCTCTGTTGTTATAGTGAGTTAGAGTAACCACCCTTACAGACTACATATCATATATGGGTGTGACAAGCTGAGTACCTAGTGGTGAGTGGTGACTACCTAATCACGTGGATTTGGCTTGGGATAGCGTGAGGCTGCTCATCGCCATACCATTTATGGGTTAGTTTGTCACACTAAAGAAATGATGGGACCTTGAGGCAACCCTTATCGGGGCATGAATATGTAGATTCATTCTAGACACTTTTTCTCGAACACGCAGAAGAGTTGTGTATCATTATATTATGAAGAAAAAAGGGCCAGCACAACCACAAACACCAACACACACACAACACACACAACTCTATTGTTCTGTGATTAAGAGCATGCATGTTAGGACTGAAATAAGAGATCAGCATCCCTATACGTCAACCTACTACTCTTCATGAACCAGACCAGCCAAAGAAGAGAGGCTCCGTGTGTCTGCTATCTCCCAAAGACGTCGTTCATCACAAAGTAACGTTGAGAGCTCTTCACATGCTAGGAGTCATGTGTGGGTACACCTCTTCAGAGATTTCTTCGAAGGCATGAACGTCTCTGGACGATTTTGGTTGTTCTTACTTCTAGTTTCATAGTAGTGAGAGCAATTGGACAACTTCTACTTGAGTTAATCATAATTTCATTTGGTCACTTAATTGCTTCCACTTAATATGCAGCAACTCGAGCATAGCATGTCATGTTCTAACATATGCCATGCTTTTTTCAATGATTACAAATCTCTATAAATTTTCCCTTGTTGCATGCACCAAATATTTATGTTGGAATAAGCTCTCTAAGTATAATCATACTCTCTGAGCATAGCGTTTCCATATAGGGCTCTAGTTTGTCTGGGGTTAGATGGATATAAGGTATAACATAGTTTATACTAATCATTTCCAATTCCCATATGTAGGTTTTGTTGGGTATGCTATTCTTGCTATCACATCCAATTGAGTACATCTCAAGAACATTCAATCTTGTTCTCGGCCGCGTGCTCATCCGTTTCTAGTGTGTATAATATTTCATGAATCCAAACAATTTTAGAAGCAACATTATGGCATATGTATCACAACCAAAATGTGACTTTATAGTTATGCACGGTGTTAATTGTTTTATGTTTTTAGGTGTGTGAACTTTAAATTCATCCTAGACAAGGTATTTGTATCAAAAGAGCTTGCTATTGTGTTGTTGATTCTTCACCTCACCACCTTTATGGCATTTACAGACTACTGGTGGTTAAAATGAGTAGTCACCACTCATGTTAGGTGTAATGAGTTAGCAAATATCTACACTCATCTAAATAGTACAATTTTCACTCAATGGTTTTCTTTCTCTAGTATATCCTGTCACATTTTCTGTACCACAAGTTGTACTACCCCTGTATGTGACTATATATATGAGAGGCACCCCCAAATGGATGTGAGGTGTTCCCCTAATTCATTGTCTCCGCTTGTTTACCTACACTCTTGCTCATGATCTTCCTCCTCTTTGAAAGGTCCTAATATGGCTAGAGGGGGGGTGAATAGTCTATTTAAAAATCTACAAATCAACTAGAGCAATTTGATTAGTATGACAAATAGCATAATGCAAACTTGTTCTAGCTCTACAAGGGTTGCAAGCCACCTATCCAACAATTCTAGTTGCAATGAATACTTAGGCACACAAACTAGCTATGTAATTACTCACTAAGAGCTCTCAACCTTGCTACTCTAAAGAGCTCAACTAGATGAATGTAAATAATAAAGCAAGCTCTCAATTCTAATTACACTAAAGAGCTTGTATCAACTAGTTTGCAAGAATATAAATGAGTGAGTAGAGTAATTATATCGACGTGTAGGGGATGAACCAATCACAAGATGAATATATAGCCAATCACCGGGAGAATGACAAAGAAGAGAGACAATCGATTTTCTCCCGAGGTTCACGTGCTTGCCAACACGCTACGTCCCCGTTGTGTCGACCAACACTTGGTGGTTCGGCGGCTAAGAGGTGTTTCACAAACCTCGTCCACACGATTGGACACCGCAAGAACCGACCCACAAGTGAGGTAACTCAATGACACGAGCAATTTACTAGAGTTACCTTTCGGCGCTCCGCCGGGGAAGGTACAACTCCCCTCACAATCACCGAAGGCGGCCACGAACAATCACCAACTCGTGCCGATCCTTCACCGCTGCTCCAACCATCTAGGTGGTGGCAACCACCAAGAGAAACAAGCGAAATCCGCAGCGCAACACGAATACCATGTGCCACTAGATGCAATCACTCAAGCAATGCACTTGGATTCTCTCCCAATCTCATAATGATGATGGATCAAT